AAAAGAGAGGTTGAACTAACCAGATGTCATCAAGCTGAAGTCAAAGTGACTGAAGGAAGCGATGATGATGAAGTGGAACCAGGTATAGATATTAAATCAGAGCAAGGGGAAAGACCAAGATTTGAAGCCAATAATTGATTATCTACAAGGAAGTGTTTTGCACCCTGCTTTGGAGAAGGTGTCTAGCTTAAGCCCTGTGACAAAGAACTATTGGGCACAATGGGACTAGTAGAAGCTTGAAGACGGTAGTCTTCTCTGGAGATGGGAAAGTGACGGCCTGGCAAACAGTTATACCAAGAAAGTTACGGGAAGTTGTGCTGTGTCAATCCCGTGATAGTTTAACAGGAGTACATCTTGGAGTTAAGAAGACATTGAGTCAGCTACGACAGAGATTTTACTGGAAGCTACAACTGTAGCTTCGGTTATTAGTTATTTCTTCTTCAGATTTGGTATGTCATACGAACTGCATTCAGATCAAGGCCGTAACTTTGAATCAGCTGTGTTCCATGAATGCTGCAAGTTGTTTGGCATACGAAAGACCAGGACAATGACACTTCACCCACAGTCTGATGGGATGGTAGAAAAGTGCAATTGGACACTGGGACAGGAATTAGCAAAGTTTTGTAATAGCTGCCAAGATGACTGATGGCCTATAAAACAGCAGAGCATGAAGCCACTGGATACACTCCAGCAAAGTTGATGTTTGGTCGGGAACTTCTATTGCCAGTGGATCTGTTAACAGGACACCCACCTTATGACGAGTTGCCTGAAAATGTGTCAGAATTCGTGAAAGTGTTATCGAAAAGGATGGATAATATTCACCATCAAGTGCGTTCAAACTTGAAAACGTCTGCTGATTCGATGAAGTTATCATATGATAAGAGATCTACTGAAGTTAGTTTTGTACCAGGAGACAAGGTGTGGTTGTATAATCCCAGGAAGACCAAAGAGAAGTCTCCAAAGTTGTCTTCTCCATGGGAAGGCCCATATGACATAGTGGGTCGTCTCTCAGAAGTGACTTTACAAATAAAATGTGGTCGGCAAGGTAAGCAAAAGGTGGTGCATGCCAACAGGCTTTGGCGTTATCATGGTCCGGGTCATTTTAGTTGGAATGAAGTGAACAATGGAACAAATGATGCTGCTGAAGACGTGTCACTGTCAAAGAAGAAACTCTACCCAGTTTTGAAACGGTGAAGCCCTTAATGAAGTTACTTCCACTTATGTGACTGCTACCGATAAAGTGACAATCATATAATATAAAATTTACCATATCCTTCTTCATAACTATTGATATATACAGTGAGAGCGCCTTCTATATATTTTCATGTGTACAACACTTAGGCCCTCGCCCTACCAAAACAAGAGGGAGCCCTCAATAGCTGCGTCTGTAATTAGATTTTAAAGAGATGACGGAGCTATGACCTAAAAGTTTTTACTTGAAAAAAATTCAGAGCCACTCTATGAGCCTCTATGCCACAGCTAAAAACAGGTAAATATCATTTACACGCCTAAATTAGCTTTCTAGCACTAGAATTCTATACATTTAAGCAGCTAAAACTGTAAAAATATTTTACATGCACAAATAAAGCTGACATTGTGTTGCAGGAAGTAAATGTTGATTGACAAAATAGTTGAAGAAACATCTATTTTTTCATTTTCTAAGTTTTAATTCTAACTGCTTAAGTACCGGTTACTCTATAACACGTTTTTACTGATTGTGGGTGGTTAAATTTTTCATTTCACCATCTAAGAATGAATTTTCTGAAAGGTAGTTGATCTTTTATTCTCAAGTGCATTGATTTCTTTTAATAATAATTGTAAGATCTGGAGAATAACTGGAGGTTCGATTAAGAAGTGTATTAAGGTGTTAAACTGAATTCCTTGTTTTTTTAGTGAGTTTATCAAAGAACAACTGTACACAATGTACAACATACTAAGTAATAGTTCTGAATATCAAACACAAACAAAATGAGTGTCTTTACAGCACCTTTACAAGAGTTTGAAGAGCTCTCACTGATATACATCTGTAAAAATTTTGTACTACATTGAAAAATATAGCATTATTATACACAGAACACTAATTTTATTCTACTCATGTCACTGTTGGTCGTTCTCATTGGAAAAATAAAGGGAGCTGTATGCTCAAGGCGTTACCTGACATGCCAGGAGAAATGATCATTGTCTACTTTCAACAGTATTAGGTCGTCAAAGTATTAATGTCATGTTTTAGAACACTTTCATTAATCACCCCCCCCCCCAAGAAACGTACATCAGTTATAATAGTTAAATGAACCGCCTAAACTTCACGTCAGTGTAGCCTATATAATGTGTAAAGTTTATTATATTATAATTCCTTATAGTGATGGCACACGATGAGACACACATTCGGCATGTAATGCTGTTTGAATACAAGAAGGGAAACAACGCCTCCGTAGCCTCAAAGAATATCAAAGAAGTTTAGGGAAATGTTTTGAATGTTCGTAAGTGTCAACGATGGTTCTACAAATTTTGTTCAGATGACTTTAGCCTTAAAAACTGTGATGGCAAGGGCTGACATGTTGGAATTGATATTGATGCTCTGAAGACTCTTGTTGAGTCTCACCCAAGGCAACACACTCTTGAAATGACCCTGAAATTGCATGTCTCTCATGAAACAATATGTAAACTTCTAAGGAATATGGGAAAAACTCCATAAAGAAGGTGTTTGGGTGCCTCATGAACTCTCTGATGATCATCACTTCCAACATGTGAACGTTGCTTCGTCTCTTCTGGTGCGTAATGGTCGTGAACCAAATTTGGACAGAATTGTCACCAGTGATGAAAAATGG